TCGGACGAGATACAGGAACAATGCAATCTCCATTTGTGTTTGGTAGTTCAGCAATAGAGAAAAAAACTAAATTTTAGGACGCACTGCGGGCATGCAGCGAACTGCCATTGACCGCCAGCGCAACACTCGGGTTGGTCCAACAGGATTTGATACAGTGAGTCGATTCAAGCATGACACAATCCATTTCGATCCCTCCTTGACAAAGGTTTCCTAAAGCGGGTAGACAAAGCGCAAGTTCTGGCCATCAGTCAGATCCAGATCCTGGTCATTCAACTGCAAAATCTCGCTGCCAGTGTCCAGGCCCTCGACTTCCGAGTCGCTGCCTCGCGTCTCTTCGAGTCTTGCCGCCCGCTGTTTGTTCTGGTTGACAAGATACCATCGGATGATGAGACACATGATGGGTGAGATGAGCCAGAATGCCGTCATGAATGCCCACGGAAGAAGATACCGGGGCTTGTATTTCTCCTGCCAGAATCTGTTGCCGCACAAAATGAGTCAGTTTACGCACATTGCTACATGTGGCTGCGCGCAGATGGACGTCGCACGACTTACTCGGGTGATATCATGTTGGCGACGGATGCCGCGACGATGCATGTAGACATCAAGCACAGCTTCTTGGTATACCCAACAGTGGTAGTTCCTGCCCACGACAAGCCCAAAAGGTACGAGGGCTTGAACGTTGAGATTTGCGTTCCCACAACGAGCGCAATCTTGTTCGACCACGGCGCCGAGACCTTGGGCACGCCGTTAGTACTCGATGCTCATCCCCCTAGTGCTCAGGAACACTCACCATGATGATGCCTCCCACGAAGCAAGGTATGTAGGAAATGGCGCAGGTGTACCCAACGCCGAGCTCTGTACCGTACAGCATGGCTGCGGAAACGAGAATCAGAAACGATCCCCAAAGAGGCTTGGCAATGTTGAACAGGGCGCTTTGGGCCGGGGTGAATCCGAAGCCAACAAGAATGAGCGGCAACTGCTGCGACGTATTATTCGGCAACTCGTTGAAGAACATGTGAATGCTTGAGGGAGCGGTTAGAATGTGCCCACGGATGCAACCAACGCAACGACAAGCAAACTCACATGAACAACCAGCTCTTGACGTCGGTAAAACACTCGCGAACTTGATACCACTTGAAGGACTTGTTGGAAATACCAGAGTGCGTCTCGCGAATGATGCGAATCGTTTGCACCTTTTCCCTGGTCGTGAGCCACTTGGCCTCGGACGGGTTATTCGGCAGGAAGATGATGAGAGGCACGGCGACGAGAAAAGTCAAGATGACACAAATGATGTGCAGCCACTTCCACGACGAGATGCCCCCCGCGAGACCGCCCACCTGGTCGTCAATGATGAGCTTGTACGCGACCATGGTCAAGAGGACGTTGGCGAAGCTGCCAGACGCCCACCAGAGCAGCTGGACCCAGGGACTCTTTTTCGGAGGAAAAAAGGCTTGGTGCAGCACCGTGGTCGACGGCACGATTTGGGATTCGGTCTGTTGTTGATGAAGCGGTTAGGTCTGGCAAGGCATCGCCATGTACGAAAGAAACAAAGTACAACACTGAAGACATCGGGGCCTCTATTACGTACCATGCCAAGAATAAATCGCAGCCCCATCATCTGCTTGCCCGTCTTTACCAGCGGATGCATGCCGAGAAGCAGGGCCCAAAGCAACAGGGAGCCCGTGATGAATTGCTTGTGTCCAACGCGCTGCGCAAGAGCAGCACCCGGCCACAAGGCAATGAGGTAGCCCGCATAGAATAGAACAAAGAGGTCGTTGTACTCGCTCTTGCTCATCTTGACGTCTCGGAATATGCCCATGGTGCTGGCCTGGGACAGCGTCGACTTGTCCAGGTGAATCAAGAAGGCTACCCACCACGTCTGCATCAGCAAGAACCAAAAGTTCTTGCGGTTCAGGCGTCTCTCTTCATCTGGCTTGATGGGCTCGACATCATCCTTGTGCCGGTTGTAGAAGAGCGTCGTGTCGTCAATGTCCTGCTTGGTGACGAGATGCACGCGCTGTCGTAGTCCAGAGCTCGACGTTGGATTGGCCGCAGACTTCTCCGGGGTCGAGTTGTCTGTATAGGGAGCGGCTTGGAGAGCCGACGTCTCTACAATTTTCTTCTCGCTCGACGACATGGCCACGGCGATGATGGTATATGAATATCCCTCTTGTTGCCTTGGTATGCTGAGATCAAAATCGCCCACGGCACCAGCCTGTCCAGTTTGTTTGCAATCATCGGCTTTATAGCCTGTTCCTTTGCCTTTGGCGAAAACGGCGAGGGAAAAAAAAATCAGTGTTCAGGTCTTTGATCTCCGTTGACAATGTGACAGGCTTGCAGCTGTACAACCCAGGTCAGAAAATGAGACAAAACCGATTCGTTCGGCTTCCCGGTGGTGGAGCGAGATTGAACAGCTAGATGCGACATCAAGGTGGCGTATCATGTATAAATCGAAGCTAATCAGGCAGCCATGTTCGTCTATTGGCCCGGAGACTGCCCAAAACTTGTCTATCAAGGTGTCGATGAGCAAATTTGCCTCGCGCATTCACGTCCAACATCCGGGCTAGATGGGGCCGTGTCGGGGGTTCTTTTGACAGGACATATCTCCGATCAGCAATCCAGTCCCTAGCTATAAGCAGCGTTTGATAAGCGTGCTCCAGTTCCCTCTCTCTCTCAACAAAGAAAGAAGCCGCGGAAACCGCCCGGATCTCGTATTGCAGAGTGCACACAGACCACACAACATGGCGCAGAAGCAGAAGCGCGTCGCAGTAGTCGGTGGTATGAGCCCCCTTTGCAAAGGTGTGAGACAGATCCTTCTCTTCTCTGACCACCCCCATAGCTGGCATATTCGGCCTGTCTCTGGCCATTGGCTTGCAGAAAAGCGGTATGTCATTGGCCTTCAGCGCATGTTGTGATGCAACCACACTCATAGCCCACGGCCAAAGGCCACAGTGTCACCGTCTTTGAGCGCTACCAGTACGACAAGAACAAATATGAGCCGGATGAAGACGACAAGGTCCAGGCAGCTTCGGTAGACGTCAACAAAATAGTAAGTGGCAGACCAGACCACGACATGCAAAGTCACGACGGGGTTGCTGATCAAGTAGTTCCGGGCTTCCTATGGCAAGAAGCTGCATTATCAAAGATTGGCCATGGAGAGTCGAGAGGCGTGGCTACGAATCAATCAAGGCCTGGGTGACGCACTCTTTGTGGAATGCGGAATGCTTCGTGTCCAGCCTTCCCACGAGTTGGCCGCCTTGGAGAAGGAAACGCTCGCCAACATGCAACGGGACGGCTTCCGAGACACCCAATTTGTCAAGAGCAATGCCCGTGATCGGGAACGTGCTGCAAGGCTTGGCTGGGAGGGGAAGCTTCTTGATTTTGAAATTCCAGGCGGCGCGCATCACGAGACCTTTGACGCTGTGCTCGACTCCCTCGGGGGCCTGACGAGATGCAGCGCCGCCTGCTACCATTTCTACAAGCTGGCTGTGAGTGCGGGTGTCAAGTTTGTATTTGGCCCAGAGGAGGGGGCCTTTGTATCCTTTATTGAGAAAACAAGCACCGTGGACGGATCCAAACCCAAGGTTGTTGGGTTAAAAACAAAAGATGGCAAAGCTCACGAGGCAGATGTAGTCGCCATTGCAGGCAAGTCGAAAACTTTTTTCTCTTGCTCTTTTTTTTCTGTCTTTTCTTTTTCCTGCCTGATCTCGGTCAAAAACCTAATAACCGACTGCAGCGGGCTCGTTCTCGACGCAGCTCTTATCAAAGCTCTCTTACCATCTAGAGTCCGCCGCCGGCAGCTTGGTGACGTTCAAGATCGACCCTGAAAACAAAGCCCTTTGGGACAAGTATTCTCCCGAGAAGTTTCCCGTCATCACCTGGAAAAGCGCTCCTCGCGCCAAAGACGGAAAGGACACTGGGAGTATATACGTGTTTCCAAGAACCTCTGATGGTATTATCAAGATGGGGTATCGTGGTGTAAAGGTGGCGTGCAACCCGACGGTCCATCAGCCGAATACGTTGCTGAAACTATTGACATTATGTAGTTTACCAATTTTGAAAAGGCGCCCGACGGGGTCCCTTTTACGCAAGACGGTCAATGGTCGATTCCTCTACCGTATGACGACTGCAAGGCCGTTCCGCCACAAGCCGAGGAAGCAATCAGGACCTTTGTGTCCATCTTCCTGCCAGAGTTTGACAAGGCCGACTTTGACACGACCAAGTTGTGCTGGTACACTGACTCCCTGGACAACTCGTTTGTTGTCAGTTGCTCAAGATGCCAGGAGGCGTGTAGTAAGCGTGGCTAATAGGCTCGACAGATTGATTATGTGCCCGATTACGCCGAGAATTCCGTGTTTGTGTGCACCGGCGGCAGCGGACATGGTGCCAAATTCATGCCGGTTCTTGGAGACGTAGGCCTACCCGTTCCGGAGAGCTGGCATGTTACTGACGTGGTCTTGACGCAGCACGCGGCCGATGTGTTTAACAATGCCGACAACGCAACGTCTCACATGCGTACTCACTGGCGATGGAGAGAAGATGTTCCGCGGCGAAATGGCTTAGAGGACGGGCCTGGTGGCCCACGGAACATTGGAGGCAGGAGTAGGTAATTCCTGGCCAACGGGGGTGCAGTTTCAGTCCAAGAAACGATGATTCACAAGTGACTGGCCATGGGTGGACGATGCATGCTTGTGAGTCGTGACAGGGCGGAGGTTCTTTACGCGGCTTTGTAGCTACAATAGACGATACAGAGAGTATCCAATAACGCTGCAACTTGCTAGTGAATACATACCACAAGGATAGTTGACAAGTGCGTCCTTTTACTAGGTCCATGACAACGAAATCAAGTCGTTCAATGTTGTCGTAGGGTAAGCAACATTACATGTAAATCGTGCTTGCCAACATTGAATGTGGGGACCTGCCCCACGACCTAGACTCTGTTTCATCTCAGCCGTCTAATTATTTCTTCTCTTCTCTTCCTGTCTGTCAACACCCAAAACATGATCGAGCCCAAAGAGCGGCTTTGGGCAGGGTCGGGCAACTTGCTCACTGGCGGCCCGTACACGTGGCATATTACCGATCTAGACCAGCGAAGGCATTTCTCCGTCACATATGCTCCGCCAGCTCCAGTTGAACATGTCGAGGATACAGAGGATATTTGCATGGCCCAGCTCCAAAAACATGTTAACCAACTGGGCGATGGCGTTTACGGAATTTACTTCTCAGAACCAGATGGGCCTATTACCATGTCTACGAACCAGGAAGACGACGTGACCTGGTATGTCAACTGCCATCCAGTGGCTGCCTTGGAGCTTCCATTTCCTATCAAGACAGTCTCCTTAAAAAGCCTGACCGAGCTGGACCGACTAGCGCCTCAAGTCGATCTAGTATCATACCAAGGAACCCCGTGTATTGGTAACACGAAAATATCCGCCGTGTTCAAGTACTGGTTTATGGAGAATGGCATGTTTCGAACTTGGTATGAACTGAATAGTTGGAGCCGCTTACCTCGGGATCACCCACATATTGTCCCGTTCGATTCTGTCGTGCTTAATGCAACTGGTGGGATTGTCGGGTTCACCACTTTATTCATCCCTGGCGGTACACTCAAAGACAACAACGCTACAACTAGGCCCTTTCGTCTTCAGTGGTTTTACCAGCTCTTGTCTGTGGTAGATGACCTCAACTACCAGTACGGCATCATGCATCAGGACATCGCACCGCGGAATATAGTGATTGATGAAGAAGAAGATAATCTTCGAATCTTTGACTTTAACTACTCAATCATGATTGACAAGCACTATACGCCTCATCGGGATGATATCAAGGGTGTAATTTTTACGTTGTACGAGATTATCACTCTAGATGAGCATTTTCGTGAGCTTCCTCACGAGCAACAAAATGCCGAAGCACTCCTACAAATGGAGTGGCTAAAACACCCTAAGGTGAAGCTGGACAGTGATGTTCAAGCATTTCGGAGTGCCTTGGATGTGGGTCATAAACAGAAAGAGCAAGGAGTTTAAACCTAGGGATACGTGGGTACGGTGGCCGTGGATGCCCAAGCCCCCATTAGGGCCAGTGCTGAATTATGGCCCCAATGGGGAAGTTACTGGAAAGGAGATGGAGCCTGTTCCAGTTTTGATCCGGAAAGAGCTGGTCCAGATGGGCGAGCCATATTGGGATTGGGAGAGGCCAGCGAGCTACCGGCTGGGGGAAGCTCTTAAAGCAGATGCAGGCAAGGAAGTCGACATGCTCCCAGTGGGTGAAGAACCGAACGGAGTTTGAACAGACCGTGACTGGATGGACATTTGTACCGTACCATGAATAATGGCAATTATGGCAAGACGGTTGGGCATTACAGGGGCAGCGACGAAGAAAAGGCGCCTCAATACATCAATATGACGTCGGTGTGACTACCCAAGCGGCGGTCGGCATCGCTTCACCTGTGCGGCAACCTGGACGTGAAGAAGCAACATTTGAAGAGTGAGTCATTGGGGTCTATTGCGCTCTAACCCACAATAACTTACTAGAAGAGCCAAGTTAGTAATCAATTGACAATAGTAGGGGGTATGATGTGATGTCGTGTCTGGTCTGGTAGCTTGGTGGGTGATTGGCATGTGATTTTGACGCCATGCTCATCTCCCGACGCACCGACTCACAGGCCCGCGAATTGTCATCGGCCAGACCACATGGGAACGTCGTGCCTGGGTTGGGTTTTCCCATGCGGCGACAATGCGGGGGTGGCCTAGGTTCTATTTCCGTGCATCATGAGAGGGTTGACGAGTCACGACGACTGAGTTTAGACCTCGTCATCCGGGCGACGACAGCAACATTGAACTCTAAACTCAAAACAGGGGCACGGGAACGGCGCAATGACGCCCGAGCACTCCGAGGCCGTGCCGTCAAGTCAGACTGGTCGGGGTAACGGAATGATGAGTCTATGGGGCCCTGCGCTAACATTTGGAGACGGGGCTTTCAGACGTCAGGGGTTTATACAGCAAGCAACTCGGGGACAGGAGCCCGCAACCCCGGTGGTCCAGCGCCGATGGGTTCTGTGGGTTCAGGAAACGGCAGAAACACGGCCTCGAATGACCATGTCTGGAGACTGGCGTCGTCAGTTCTCCCGACGCTCCGCATGGGATCCCAAAAACTACAATAGAACAAGGGCCCCAGCCAGCAGTCGTCACATTGGCCGTCCCCCCTCGTCTGGCTGCTTCTCGTAAAAGCATTCAATGTCAAGTTACATGTACCAACTTGACAGCTCGTAGGCAAGAAGAAGCAGACTGTCCCAAGACTCCCAACCTGAGTGCCAACTCACAGGCTCACAGCCATGCAAGTCACCGTCCTGGTCGGCATTGCCCTCGGGGCCGCCGTCGTCGTCATGCTCATCAACGCCGTGCAGACGAGGCAGCGTCACCGGGCCATGGCCAAGAAGCTCGGGTGCAAGCCGCCCATCCAGGCGCCGTCGACGGAGCCCAGCGGCATCGTGGCCATGTACCGCGGCGCAAAGGCCTCCAAGGAGAAGCGCTTCCCCCAGTTTGTCCAGGAGCAGTTTGAGAAGCTCAACGAGCGCGAGGGCCGCCAGGTCGGCACGACGAGCCTCGTGACGCCATTCTTCAAGAAGATCATCTTCACGTCGGATCCGCAAAACATCCAGGCCATGCTGGCGCTCAAGTTTAAAGACTTTGGCCTGGGCGTGAACCGCACCGACAACTTCAGACCGCTCCTCGGCAACGGCATTGTAAGTCTCAAGTCCACTCGTCTTGTCTTGACGGTTCAACGCTGACTCTCGTCTTGCCGTCTAGTTCGCCGCCAACGGCAAGCAATGGGAGCACTCGCGCGCCCTCCTGCGCCCCCAGTTCGTCCGCAGCCAGGTCAGCGACCTGGACCTCGAAGAAGCGCACGTCCAGAACATGATGACGGTGCTGAACCGGCACCTGGGGAGCGATGGCTGGACCGGCACCGTCGACCTGCAAGTCCTCTTCTTCCGGCTGACGCTCGACTCGGCCACCGAGTTCCTGTTTGGCGAGAGCGTCAACAGCCAGCTGGACCAGCAGACCGACATCACCAACAGCGGCAAGGACGACGACAGCTTCGCCTACGCCTTCGACCGCTCGCAGTACATCCTGGCCATTGCCGCGCGCCTCGGCCACAACTACTGGCTCATGCACACGCCCGAGTTCCACCGCATGGTCGAGCGCGTCCACAAGTTTGTCGACTACTTTGTGCAAAAGGCCATGAGCAACCGGCCGGGCGAGAAGCAGCAGGCGTCGTCGGACCACTACGTCTTTTTGCACGCGCTGGCCGAGCAGACGCAGGACCCGGCCGAGCTGCGCTCCCAGCTCCTGAACATCCTGCTGGCCGGCCGCGACACGACGGCCTCGCTGCTGGGCTGGTTCTTCCACACGCTGGCCGACAAGCGCTACGAGCCCATCTACAAGCGGCTGCGGCAGATTGTCGTCGACGAGTTCGGCACCTACGACAGCCCGCGCGACATCAGCTTTGAGCGCATGAAGAGCTGCCAGTACCTGCAGTGGTGCATCAACGAGGCCCTGCGGCTGTACCCCGTCGTGCCCATGAATGTGCGCACCGCCCTGACCGACACGACGCTGCCCACCGGCGGCGGCGACGACGGCCGCTCGCCCATCTTTGTGCCCAAGGGGACCGACGTCGGCTACTCTGTAAGTTCATGTCCAGACATGTTGACCCTACTGCCCCTTGTCCCTTGTCCCTTGTCCTGTACTTACATTGACGCTTCCCTTCTCGCAGGTCTTCATCATGCACCGCCGCAAGGACCTGTGGGGAGACGACTGCGAGGTGTTCAAGCCGGAGCGCTGGGAATCGCGCAAGCCCGGCTGGGACTACCTCCCCTTCAACGGCGGGCCCCGGATCTGCATCGGCCAGCAGTTTGCCCTCACGGAAATCGCCTACGTCCTGGTCCGCATGCTCCAGCGCATCGACGTCCTCGACGGCTCGGCCGCGGGCCCCGTCAAGCACGGCCTCACCCTGACCAACTGCCCGGCCGACGGGGTCAAGCTCCGCCTCCATTTCGCCGAGTAGGCCGTGACACCGCCGGGGGAGCGGGAAGCAAAAGAAACTTCACGAGAAAAGGAAAAAAAAAAAAGGGTAACGCACCCAAGCATGTAAGCCACGGCTCGTGACGAGACACGACGCGGTGCAAATAATCTACTTGTACCATCATGATGAGGAAACATTGAATCTATGTACATGAACTCTAGCGAACGTATTCTCTTAGTAAAGAATCTGCCCACCGTCCACGATGCTCCTCCCCGTCTTGACCGCGGCCAAAAACCCCGCGGCATGTAGATCCCGCACGAGGGAGAAGAGGACGCCGTCGCACCCCCGGGCGGCCATGACGTCCACCGACACGGGCAGCACCTCGGCGCGCCCCGTCACCGCCGACTCGTAGGCCACCTCTCCAATGGGCAGCACCACGTCCGGCGCGCCGCTGTAGACCGAGAGACGCGTCACGGAAAAGGGAAACGGCCGCGACGGCCCGCCGAGGTACGTGTCGCGGTACTTGGGCGCCGGCCGTCGCGGCACGTAGACGAGGATGTGGCGGGAGCACGTGGCCGCGTCGCGCGGCAGCTGCTTCGCGTTGAACCAGTCCATGAACTTGGTCTTGGCGGCCACGACGTGCTCCGTCGTGCTGGGATCCGAGTCTCCCAGGGCCCATCTCTGCAGCGGGCTCGGGTCCACGTGCGGGAGGCGGCCGTCGTGGACGCGCGCGTAGTCGGGCACGAATACGTCCCGGACGAGCTTTGCCTGCTGCTTTGCCGTCAGGAGCTCGTATGTGTTGTTGAGCAGGGTCGGGAGGGGTGGCTCGTGTGGCATGTCTGCTTTCCACGACTCTTCGACATTGTACGGCGTTACGCTGGCGGACAGGAAACGAGTCAGGTTTTGGAGGAAATTGCTCAGCAAGGCGTCGTATCTGGTGGACGAGTTGGTTGGGAAGCCGACGGCGAGCACCGAGCTTGGGTACCTGCTCGTCAGGGTAATGTTGTCGAGGTAGAGCGCTTGCGCCGTAGCAGCCCAGAGACGAGGGTCTCTTGCAAAGATTCCGGCCGTGTCGTACTCTGGTGCGAGCGGCATAACACGCTTCATGGAGACTAACCCATGAGCTGCAGCTCGTCGTTAGTTTGTAACCGTCTGCCTTGTTTCTCCTAAATACTACTCACATGGCCTGTTTCCGTATAGTCCTTGAGCTTGGCTTGGGCTCCTTATGCTGCCACCAGTGTCGGAGCCGAGTGTAATATCTAGCCACGGGTATGAAGCTACATGTGCTGTCAGTGAAAACACAACCAGTCAATCATTAATAACGGGCGTCTGGCAGACCTTCTCCGGAAGCCGGTCCTGTAGACGACGACGACCCATCTTGATAGCCGTCCCCTCTGGGATTAAATGGCGAGTGGTAATCTACCCAGTCGGCAGTTGCCGTCTCCCCATTGGCAAACTGGCTCGTCTTCATTTTTCCCACGACAATGGCACCCGCATCAATGAGGTTCTGCACCGCCGGGGCGGTTGCGTCTGCGGCCGCATAGTGGTTATACCAAGCCCGGTTACCATTCGACGTCTTGACTCCTTTCAAATCATATATGTCCTTGACCCCGAGACGCACACCAGCCAGTGGCTTCTCGGTCGTGCGTTGGAAGTATAACCGGGATGGGACGGCAACAGCTAGCGATTGCCCGGGAATATTCGCCGGGAGGACTGTGAAACCCCCGTTGCCGTCCCGCACCGTGGTTTCGCTGAATGATCCCTGTGTATCGGAATACAGCCGGTATGCCTGGAATATAGACCCCGAGCTTGACATAAAGTACGGTCCGTCGGGAATGCTGGGACTGCTGTCATCCAAGGTAGAAGCATGCACATCAACGCAGTTCCTCAGGACGGCGTCGCAAAAACGGCTCCCTTCCCTCGTCGTACTCTGGATGTAGATGCCTATAGATTCCATTAGCCGGGATTTTTCTTAGTTTGTGCCTTTTTTTTCTCTTTCTTTTTTGTTTTGCAAATGGTGGGCGCACCCTGCAGGAATCCGTCTTGGAAAACGTCATCAATGCCAGAAAATTCGGTAGTTGTATTCTCAAGCTCATCTTGTCCAAATTTTCCATGATTTGACGTCACCACTGTGATGGGAACAAGATCAAAGTCGCGTGCCTTGGAGGAGTTTGCCGGCTGAGGTATCACACCAATTGACTGCGGCGGCACATAATACGGTACGTTGTTCAATTGCAGCGTGAGGCCAGTGATGCGAATGTGAGCCTCGCTCGTTGATGACACAGCCAAAAGCATTGCCAACGCAACCAACTGCCAACACTGTACTCGCAACATGGCTGGGTCGTGGTTCTTGTCACAGAATCTTGCAAAGGATCAATAATTGCAGGGAAGCAGCCGATGTACGAATGACATCAGACGAGAAATGGGTGCACCCGTTCACACCATGATATTTTTGATACTACCCCGTACACTGAGATATAAAATCTTTGGATGAAAAACCTTGTTTGGGCTGATCAAAAGAAGAGCCATGGTGCCATGCGTTCACCGCAGTTACATCGTGCGTGCAAGATAAGACCGGACGGTAATCTCCACAGAGCTGAACACCCTGAGAGACACAAAAGCACCTTGATGTTCTGCAAAGCCCCAGAAAGAAATTGCGCATAGCTACTTCATGGTGATGGTGCGTGATTATTCATGAGCATTAGCGAGGTGGCTGTTCAAACACGTCTAGAACAAGACAAGTGAGATTCCATCGCTTCTTAGCCATCAGAAGTGTCATTATCAGATTGACATGACTGTTTGCCAATATCGATCAATATGAATGCCGTCATCTACACTGTAACTAGCCGCTGCTCCAGAGGCCAATTTGACAAAACAGCTTCGGTCAACTCCTTCACAGACGAGCTTTGTACAACACAGGAGCGAATCATTGTGCAACAACGGTCTGGGGTAGTCCTGCGGCTCATCAGCAAGTCTCGGCTATGTAATTGTGCTGTCAGCAACGTAACCATCAAGGTGAATGGCACGACGTTGAAGAATGTATGCGCGTTTATTGCATGCGCCAACAAACTCCGAGGACCCGACAAGCAGTACTATCATTTCGTTTTGTGATTACGGCAGTAATCCAGCGTGGTGGTTGGTTAAACAAGATCTGTAGTCAAATAAATATATAAGCAGACTTGAAGAGCCAGGCTGCTCATTCACAACATGATGCCAGTCCGACAAGACCGCCATCTCAACCAAGTCGTTTAGTTCCAAGGAACGACGACATAGGCAAAATGTTGCTCAGGGTACCCAGTTTCAGGCATCTCGCGTCAGCCGTGACTCTACTTACACTGACGCCCGTCCTTGGTCATCCCGCCAACCAACAGCATACCCATGGCTCGTCACACAAGCCCGCGCTTCTAGAGAACTTTGATGCCATAGGCGCCTGGTTTGAAGATGTAGCAGCCATCAACGGAACGTCGATTGCGCGCCGCCCAAATGTCACAATCGCAATCGTCGGGGCCGGCATCTCTGGTCTCGCCACCGGGCTCATGCTCGACAGTATTGGTGTGCATAACTGGGAGATAATCGAAGCTAGCGATCGAATCGGCGGCCGTTTCAGAACAAAATATGTCGGTGGCACGCAAGAATGGGCAGAAATGGGGCCCATGAGGCTGCCATATTCGGTCAAGTACAGGAGTGATAACACGACACACGAATACACAGACCACCGCATGACCTTTCAGTTGGCAGAGTGGTTGAATAAACTCAACAAGAATGACACAAAGTGGAAGGTAGACTTTATTCCTTGGCTGCAGCACCATCCCAATGAGCTTCTTGCCAGAGGAACCGGCCGTCATCCCGATGGGAGGATTCCAACCCGAGGAGACATCGCGGCGAACCCCAAGCTGGCGGCTCCGGCGCCAATGAACAGCGCCGAGTATAATGACACCAAGAGTGCCATGAATGGCATACTCAAGAATGAGACGCGCCTGCGTGAGATTCAGCGCGATATCTGGCGGGCACACGAGAAGGCAATGGAGGAGAATCTTGACGATTGGAGCGAGCAAGGGATGATGCGGCACCGGTTTCACGCCAGCGAGAACGTCACAGATGCTATTGCCACCGACACGGACTATGAGGTGTTTTGGGACGAGATGGTGCACAACTCCAACTTGGCACAGGATGGCGGACGCGGCGCCTTTGGCGAGACGGAGTGGAAGTGTGTCGACGGGGGCTTCAACCGGCTGTCCGACGCCTTTACGCCCCATGTGCAGGACAGGGTGGTTTTCAACCGCAAGATCAGAAAGCTGGAGTCTGTCGGCGACGGCAAAGGCGGCCTCCGGACGCGGCTTTCCTGGTATCCCAGCGCGGCGAACCACACGTACGAATCCAAAGAGTACGACTACACCATCATGACGCTCCCATTTACCATGACGCGGCTGATGGACCTGCCCAAATTCTCGTCGACGCTCAGCAGGGCCATGGGCGAGCACGGCCTCCGGTTCAAATCAGCCTGCAAGGTGGCGCTGCTGTTCAAGGAACGGTTCTGGGAGAAGGGCGAGCGGCCCATCTTTGGCGGTTACTCTCAACCCGCGAGCGCGGCTATGGGAGCGCTGTACTATCCCAGCTATGGGCTGAACGAGAGCCGTCCGGGGCTTATTACGCAGTACCGCGGAGGCGACTGGAGCGATCGGTTCGTCAGCCTTCCGGACGAGGAGTACGTGGGCATGGTGCTGGATGCCATTGTCAGCCTGCACGGCCAAGAGGCACGGCGTCTGTACACGGGCGACTATGAGAAGCTCTGCTGGCTGCAGGACGAGCACTCGGCGACGTCGTGGTGTCGACCCAATGTTGAGCAGCATCGGCTGTACATTCCGTCGTATCACCGCACCGAGCACAACACCATCTTTATTGGCGAGCACACGGCACCGACGCATGCGTGGATTAGCTCGTCGTTGCACTCGGCGGTTCGGGGTTCGGTGCAGCTGTTGCTGGAGCTCGGCATGGTTGATGAGGCAAAGAAGCTGAATAAGGTGTGGATGGGGAGATGGATTCACGGGGCGTGAGGGCTGGCGGCTGGCGGCTGGCGTTGTCGTCGATATTTCAACGTGATGCATGTGCGGAGTAACTTGAACCGTTGACGTGCATCTGGAGTGTTGGAGCATCATTCGTGTCACGTGTGGCTGGGATGCGCCCTGCGCAGCAGATGCAGGCGCGCCCACGTTGGCAATTATTTTGTTTGAAATAAATTACATGCAGTGATATTGGATTCTTTACGCTCAGATGTGCAAGCTGATTTCAAATCTGCCATGGACCATGGTTCCTCGGAATGCTGGCTGGCTGCCCTTTTCGTCAAACGGAGGCGCAGGCTGCTGCAGGGTAGGGCCACCCAATTGTGGCTTTTCGGCGGGCCATGCGCAGGGGCAAGTGAATATTTACGGTTAAATGTTGAACTTTGAAATTAATTGACGCAGGCGGTTTCGACAACATCACCAACCACCACTCGCACGGACAGAGCCGACGAGAGACTTTGCCGCCAGCCGCCGCCACCAATGCATACCTACCTAGGTACTTGAGTAGGTAATTGTCACGTACGGCTGCTCAATCGCCCGGGCGACCGTGCTGAGGGCTCAAGGCCTAGTACCGTCGACGGCGATTTCCTATCTCTCGTCTCCACGATGTGGTTTCCCGCCAAGAGACCAACGACTTCTCCCACGCGATCTCCAAGGATACCCTGGCACCCAATGACGTCGGTTTCTCGCTCGGCAGAAACGAGCCAATTGTATGCAAGCAATTGTGCGGGCGATGGAGCCCCGAGGAGTCAGCTTCCTTGTCCCTTGCGCTCCTCTCCTCTCCACCTTGCCTTGTCCGTTGAGACACTCACTCTTGGATATTGTGTTGAGATGCAAGCATTTCGAAAATGACACAAACTAGCACTTGGCCCAAGAGGCTGATTGGCTGTTCATGCCGTGCCTCCCTGTCCATTCGTAAAAAAATGGATGCTCGGGCGAACTTCAACATGGCTTCAGCAAGCGATGGAAGGCCCTTGTCGACCTTGAACGTGCATTATTAGTTATTGCTGGCTATTAGTTTGACGCCGTCAGCCCGTTTGTGCAACACGAGTTAATACATACATACACGCACGCATGCGGTTTGACTTAAATAGCGAGATGCTCCCCCCGGGCACGTAAATCGTTTTCGTTCCGTCGTTCCATTCCTCTCTGTCAACACAGCCAACTGCTTTCGTCCCAGCTGAAATACACCCACTATGTCGTTTGCCCTACACGACTTGAGCTGAGTAACTGGACATCATCAAAGACCAAGACTGGCCTGTTGGAAACACCAAGAGTGTTATTGGTTGGATCTCGGGGCAACACACCCGACCAGACATCACCACCACCACCATCATCATGAGAAGCACCTGGACAGTCTTTGGCCTCGCTGCCGTCGCCGGCCTCGCTGATGCCGCGCCAGCCGACCAAAAGATCAAATGTCCGGCTGGGCCTCGCCTGGCCCATTGGCCGCCCGAGGCCGCCAAGGCCCTCAATCAAATGATTGCGCGCAATGCGCACAAGGGTCGCTATGCCGTCTTCGACATGGACAACACCAGCTACCGCTTCGATCTCGAAGAGTCCCTGCTGCCCTTTCTCGAGGCCAAGGGTGTCTTGTCGCGCGACAAGCTCGACCCTTCCCTGAAGATCGTCCCCTTCCAAGACACTGCTTCCTACACCGAGAGCCTGTACAGCTACTACCTTCGTCTGTGTGAAATCGACGATGCCGTCTGCTACCCCTTTGCCGCGCAGGTATTCGGCGGCCTGCCGCTGCGACAGCTCAAAGCATACGTGGACGAGCTCATGGCCTTCAACGGCACCATCCCCGTGCAGTACTACGAAGAGGGCGTCCTGACCAATTCCACCGTGAGCCCGCCCAAGGTCTTCCGCGGCCAGGCTGAGCTGTACAATCGGCTCATGGCCAACGGCATCGAGGTCTACGTCGTCAGTGCCGCCTCGGAGGAACTCGTGCGCATGGTCGCCTCGGACCCCAAGTACGGGTATAACGTGAAGCCCCAAAACGTCATTGGCGTCACCCTCCTGATGAAGGATCTCCAGAGCGGAAACGTCACCTCGGCGCGGAAGCAGATCAAGGAGGGCGACTACAGCGAGAGCAAGAACCTCGACTTGGTCATGACGCCTTTCCTCTGGACTCCGGCCACGTGGAAGGAGGGCAAGTGGGCGGCTATTCTGGACTACATTGACCCTTGGAAGCGTCCCATCTTGGCCGCTGGTGATACGCCCGTGAGTGACGGG